GGGGGGGGGGGGGGGCAGCAGCGCACGTCGAACGGCAAAGCTCGACTTTCAGAACTAACGGAAGGACGACCGCTCGTTACTGCTGCCACGTTTTACTATGATTCCAAAACTCTTGGCATCCTCTCTCATCCTCACTGCATGCACCGCACGAAAAAAGGACCCAGCCGAAAAGCACACAATAATATGCCAACGACGCGAGACCGATAAATACGGCACTATGCACGTGCTGCCCCTCATTACATTCGACGACCACGGACTGCTGTCTACCTTCTTGCACAACAAAAAACTCCGATCGCAGCAGTATTCAATCCCACCCAGCCTTGACAAAAAAAAACACACTCACAAACACACACGCACACACCTGCCAACCCCCCCCGCTTCTCGGTGGGGGCTTGCGCCGCCGCCGCCGCCGCCCGCGCCGACTCCCCCCCCCCCCCCGGCTCCTTGTTGCCGAGCAGGTTCCGGCCCCTGTCGTAGATGGGCGCGCTGCACCTCAGCCCCACCTGGCTCTCCGTGTCCTCTTCGGTCGAAGACGGCTTCTTCCGCCGCGTTGTTCCCGGCAGCGGGGGCGGCGGTGGCGGCCGCCGCGGCCGCTGCTGCGCTCTCCGCCAGGGGCGACGCGCTCGCCTTGTTGGCTCCGGCCAACGGAGTCTTTGCCCTGGAGGAAGCCCTCGCGGCGAGCGCACCGCCGTCGCCGCCACCGTTAGCGAAGGCGCTCCCCTGCCTGACAATCCCGACATCGATCCTGAGCTCTTTGACGGCGGCCCTCCGGTTTGGAGCTGCGGCGGGAGCCGCTCCCGTCATCTCGTCGGAGAAGGCGAGGGCTAGCGGGCGGAGCTGATCGTTGCCGGCGTCGCCGCCCGACGGAGAACCCCGTCTTTTCGGCGACGGGATCGGCTCCCAGCCGGCGCCCCAGCGGGGAGAGCGACCACCACCACCGGCACCGGCACCGGCGCCGCCGGCAGCGGCAGCGGCAGCGGCAGCGGAGGCCCGGGGGGACACCCTGCGCCTGACCCCGGTACCGCGGTTGACGTCGTCATCCGCAGACCACGCGGGGGAAGCGGGGAGGACCGAGATAGCCGCGCGCTCGTCCCGCTGCCTCTCGAAGGCGGCGGCGGCGGCGGCGGCGGCGGCCTCCTTCCTGCCGCTCCCCCCGCCCACCGCCGCCGCGGCAATGCCGTCGGCGACGAAGCCGGCCACGTAGTCGATGTGGGAGAAGGAGTTGTCTAGGCCGTCGGGGGAAGGGCCCGCGAAGAACGAGGAACCTCGCCCGGAGGGCGGCTCCTCATCCCCGTCCCGTTGCTGCTGCTGCTGCCGGCGCCGGCGCCGCGACGAGCCTTGCTTCGGAGTCGTGGGGGCCGCGGTGCTTCGCTTGTCCGACGCGAACGGTACCTGGAAAGCAAGACAGCAAACCCACAACACGACGCGAGCGGTGGGAGTCCCATCCATCGATTACGATCTTGGCAACTAAAGGCAGCGATCAAGGGAACCCCCCCCCCCCCCCCCCCCCC